GGGATGTGAGAAGAAAGAGACATGGGAGAAAGCTCCTAATCTGGGTGGACAGAACGCTGAGGGCAGATAGCGAAGCTAACTGGAAGAATGTCGCATAGTTGAAGATGTAGGTTGTCGATTTGTCCACTCAACGGGATGAGGCTATGGCCCGGGCTTTAGAGTCTGAGGTTTATGTGGAGATTAGGTCAACGACAATGAAAGATTATTGAAAGGATGAATTCCTCGAACTGCCAACATGACGACCTCCAGTGTGACCTGGATGTTGCGGTTGCGAGATCGACTAGTCTGGAGGCCAGGAAAATGGTTGTAGAGAAAGAGAAAGATTGGGCATTGGCAGAGACAGCGGGCATTCTCGAAGAGGATATTGGCGGGTATAAAAGAGTACGAGGAGTCTCTCAACAAAACATTTAATCATGCTAGGGGTAAGAATGTTTACGTGTGAACAAAAATATCCAGGTTGCTTGAACCCGTGTTGAAGATCATATCCTGGAGGTTAACTTGCTAATCAAGGGGAAGAAGTACCAGAAGGAAAAACAGTGCCTGTGGCACATGCTTGTAGTAGATCATTCTGACACAAAGACTTCAAAGCAAGCATAGATGTATGACATTTATCCAAACTATAAAACATTTTACAAGAAGATTATTTGATGTTGTAGTTACATCATAGATAGCTCTCTGAGAAGCAGTTTAAGTTTCTAAGAAAGAACTTTTAATTTGTCAAGAAATGTTTTAAAACCAGAAATTAAAAAAGTATTGATTGAAGAAAAATGTCTTTTTTTTAAAAAACAAACCAAATGGATAACAATGATTTCTTGCATATGCCAGTAAAAGTAGTGTTTGAAGACATAAATTGTCTCAAAACATTATGAAAACAAATTGTTCAATTAACAAAAATGTTAAATAAAGAAGAACAAAGGTTAGATAATCTAGTTCAAATTTATCATTTTCCACCACCAGATGTTAAGCAAGCAAGTGTTAGAATTTATTTTTTAAAGGTATAATGGAATGCTCTCTTTCATTAACGCAATTAAGAAGTTGATAAAGAAAGCAGAAAAACAAGCATCCCTTTTAAGTCCTTAGTTAAGTCTTTTTTACTGAAACTCTGAATTAATCATCATTTCATTATATTTGGATAACTGCTTAAAATTGCTTTCTTCAAAATGTTTTTTAATATATGCAAATTTCGCACGGGAATCAGCCCGTCTAAAAGTCTTGGTATCAGAGTCTGATATCAAAGAAAAATCTTGTTGGATAATAGATCTTTCGATCAATATTCTTTGTATTCATCTTCCAATATAGAATTAAAATTCAGAATGTGGAATACCAGTATTCGTGATCCCATCTTAAGGTGGAGACAACTGGAAAACCTGTTTGGAATATGAATACGGATGATGAAAACAAAGATATAGAACAAGATCTATGTCTTAATAGCGATCTTTCACAAATTTCATTTAATGAAAAGTGAAGAAGATTTTAAAGCGAGTATATCAATAAAACATGATGTTTTGACAAAAATTCAAAAATTTATATTAAATCTCAAAAAATAATTTTTTTTAACATTCCAATGTTAAATTTCTTTAAAAGAAAAAAGTTGAAATCTTTTATTTTGTTTTTTTTTTTTAAATAAACTCACCCCAGGGTGGGGTGGGAGATTTGACTGCACCCCCAACCTATGAATATAATGTCCCTGAAAGAGGCTAATAAGTCAAAGTTCTACATCAATGTCGAGAATACATAAAAATATCGTCAAAACAAAGAGTACAACACAAAGAGTACAAGAGTTGATGAATTTCCAATGTGAATCCAAAAACAAATCCTCTTGGAGAGACAGTCTAACCATGGGGGGGGCCAGGTGTAAAGTCCAAAAACATCAAATCTAGGCAGGATCAAGTGGAAGCGGCCGTCCAAATCTGAAGGATGGATACTCTAGCCGGTCCATACGAATGAGAGTCCGAAGTCGGAGGGGGATGTCCTCATGGTGGAGGGTGCGTCTCTCGGGTATAGATGCCCCGGTGCTAGCAAAGAAGTCAGCGGGGCGCTTCCCCTCTCGGCATATGTGCAAGACCTGGTAGTGGATCGAGCGGAGGATGTCTCTGATGCGCATAAGTGGATGTTGGATCTGCCATGCCCTGGTGGCCAGATGTCAAAAGTGTGATGACAGATGTAACATCCATCTCTATCCATATATGTGAGGAGATTAAGACGGCAATCTGAAGCGCCTACATCTCAACATCATAGCTCGAGAAAGCCCGAAGTGGCCCATAAAAGGCAGTGATGAGTGCCCCACCATGGTCCCTAATCAGGCCCCCTCCTCCAGCAGCTCCGGTATGTCTGTCGAAAGCGACATCAGTGTTTAGCTTAACCCAATGAGGCTTGGGTTTCAGCCAAACAATAATCCTGGGACGCGGGTGCTGGACAGGCGGAGGAGGTGGTGGCCTCAAGCGATGAGGCGGTGTACAACCTGTCCAGTCTCTCGTCGTTAGTCTGCCCAGTGCAGTGAGGAGAGAGAGGTGTCTGTCAACCTGCAAAATAATGTGAGAGCAAGAAAATGTAATATCTCTATGCTTCGCGTTATTCCTTTCTTTCGAGGTGGACCACGTGATCAGACAAGGAATAAGGAAGCCCACGTGTCTACTGCGTGTGCAGTGTGAGAAAAAACTCAGAAGCTCAAAAAAACTATCTGTAGTGGGTAGGGGTATATGTGTATATCTGGAATAGTGCTCCCACACTATTCTCACAGTCTCACTCTCAAGGAAAAGATGGGCGAAAGTCTCAATCTCGAAAATGCCGGTATCAGCACAACAATGACAACGGGAGGGGAAGAATAACCCCCTCGCCTGCATCACAGTGTCAGTGGGTATGCATCGTAATAGGGTGAAATCTTTTATTTTGTTAACACACAAGAATTGCATGTAGACATAAGAGATGCCAAAGGAACAATATATATGCCTTTAATCACTAAAGCAGAAATACCAAGAAATTCGGCGATGATTTTATCTTCTATAAAAAATAAAATTTCTACCATTCATCTAGGAGAAATAATTTTTTTTTTTTTTTTTTGGCTTAAAGCTGATACTCCTATAAAAAATACATTAATTGATGATAGAATTAATGGTAGAAAAAGATTGTATATTAGGTGCAACAAGAGGAAATCGCCTATGGTAAGTTCATGTTCATGGTTTATCCTAAATCTGGAATATCTAACCAAACTACAAATTTAGATAAAACTTTATCTTTTATTCATCATTTCGAAAGAGACAGTTTAATGAACGTTGGGGACAAAGTCTTTAGTGTCACATATATTATAAGTTATGCATTGACTAATAGTCATCATAGTATAAATTATAAGAAAAAAATCTTATATTGAATTAAAAGATATCTTTTCAGATATAGGTTCAGTAGAAGAAAAAAACCTTCTTTGAATTAGCACCACTAGAATAACATTGAACTATTAATATAGCTAAAGTAAAACTCTAATAGAAAATAAAAAAAATTCTATGCGCGTTAAAGAAAATTCTTTAATCATAAAAGAATCAAATAGACAATTTGTTTTCAGAATCCGTAACAAACATGTCTTAAAAAATAGATAATTTATCCACTAAGTGAAAACAATTAACAAAATAAAATATTTGAAATGACAAATAGCAAACACTACAAAAAAAACTCTTACGTTCCAACGGAAATTTTCTGTTGTAATTCTTTATATTCTCCGTTGGAATAGCTATTCCAACGGATATTCCTAGGTATAAAAATTCGTGGGAAAAACGACCGTTGGAATAGCTAAAATCTAACGGAAAATCCTATGGAAATAAATTCCTACAACTACTCCAACGGAAAAAATCCGTTGGAATTCCTCAACCATCCAACACTTATTCCAACATAAAATTAAGTTTGTTGGAATATTCATTGGAATTTCCAACGGAAATTTTTATCGTTGGAATTTTTCGTTGGAATTCAAATGTTTTTTTGTAGTGAAAGTGAAAATAGCTATTTTCACCCCGTTTTGAAGTCTTGTTAAGTTTTTCACACCGTCCAATAAAAAGCTAAGTTTTTCACCCCAGAAAGTGCGAAAGGCATTGTGCGATGAGTATGCGACAATTGCGCGGTGACATTGTGTGAAAGTTAAAAGTGCGAAGGCATTCACATATCCCTTCGCACTTTCTAGGGTGGAAAAAAGTTAAAGTGCGAAAGCATTGTGCAATGAATATGCGACAGTTATGCAATTGATATGCGACAGTTATGTGACAATTTCTTGCATAACTTTCGCATATGCGACAATTATGCGATGAATATGTAACAGTTTTCACATAACCTTTGCACTTTTCGAGATAAAAAAATATAGTTTTTTTATTAGACGGTGTGAAAAAACTTGACCTCTCCCTTATTGGATGAAAAAGTTTCCCAATAGCAAATATGAAATTGCTGGTACCACCTATATGAGTTGATTCAAGACTAGTCACACCTAATATAAAAGAAAATTGGTTACCAAATTCAGGTTCACATATTACACGTAACAATTTTTTTTTTACCTGCAACGATAGACAAACACGTAACACTTCGTTAAAGGAATTAAATAAATAATAAAAAATAAAAAAATCTGCATGGAAAAAGACCGTATAAGAGGTGAACACAAGTCAACAGCAACCTAAAGATGACACGACGACGCCGTTTTAGCCATCTGTTTCCATAAGTCGGTATTATACAAGATTTTTCACTCGGGATATCAGATTTCTTCATAAACTCTTACCAAACATAAATTTCAACGCTCCCTCTCTCTCTCTCTCTCTCTCAGATCTCTCGCAAATCCGCATACTTTTTTATACGCTGCTTCATTTGTAAAACCCTAGTCCCCAAATCGAAACCCTAGCCTAAGGTTACCGAAAGAACCCCCCAATTTCCAGCCTCATTGCGCCGGAATTGGTTTTCTTGTCTTCAATTTCTGTTTTTAGCTCTCAAGCTGTGAACTTTATCCTTCAAGGGAGTGATGGTTGAGATTTGTAATGGACGGCAGTAGAGTTATTGTCGATAATGCCGATGGGGCCAGAGAGAACTGCGGCTCCGCCGACGGGCGGCCTCCGATACCCAATTCTCTAGGCGGCCAAGGGGCCTACAGACGCTGCTTCAACTCCGGGGGCACGCCCCCGTTGCGTACTGCGTCCCTCGTTCGCCACGCTTCATTGGTAAGCTCAATGTCACGTTTATTTCTGTATTTTTATATATTTGTTTTGATTTTAGTTTGTATTTGTTGCCCTGTGTTTGTATCTCATCAGTAGCGGATCTGTATCTCCCTTTGGAGTTACAGTTACTGTTAAAAGCATGGTTGTAGTATATGTTTTTCCTTCTTTTTTTTTTGGGTATGTTCGGAGTTGGCTATGATTTTGGATTGAGGTCATAGTTTAGGTTAGTGGATGCAAAATTGTGACGTTTAATTGCTACTTGAGGAATTTTATTTCGGGCTTGACGGGGATTATTAGATTCTGGTTGTGACATTTGTAGTGGTGCTCAATTGTAATATTATGTGGGTTGTTAATGGGCATCCTCAGGGCCTGATCTTATTTGTATTTTTTTTTAATGAAAAATGCTACTTCATAGAGGTGAGGTGATGGTTACAAAGTGCATATCGTGAAAATTTGGCACGCTTAGTACAATTGTGTTTACAACACTTGAATCTGTGCCACACAGGGGATCTTATGTTCCCTCATTCAGTGATTTATTGACAAATCATATTTAGAGACTCAAATTTGTTGCCCCAGTCTAGTTCTCTTCTTTGGTGGTCGCTTATTGTAGTTCCATTATGGTACTTTTTTCTCAATTTGACTTCAATCAACATTATATCTGATATTATTTATAGTGTTTCTGGAGAGGGTAGTGATGCTGATTGCCTTTGTCCTTCCAATCATAGAGGAATTTCAAATCATTCATACCTGCTACTTTTGAAGATAACTTGTTGGCTATTTAGGAAGCCTTCCTTACTCGAGCTGTAACTCTGTGTTGCTTGAACTAGAATTTTAGAGTTGCTTACATTGTTCTTCTCTGGGTCTATTGATAATTTTATTTTATGTTAACCTGCAGTTCTTTGCCCTTGTTTTCATGCAAACATTCTTATCCTTCCTTGATCTGTTAATCTCTTTTTATTTTCATCTCCACATGGGGTTATATTTTAATGAGAGCTTTATTAGGTTAAGACAAAGCCATCTGATATTCCTATTAACCCGCGACTGGGTGAAGATGATCGTATAACTGAATATATGCCCCTCCTCCGCTCAGGCGCGTGGGCAGACATTGGTTCTCGTTCAAGCATGGAGGACGTCTATGTTTGTGCAGACAATTTGACCCATGATTATGGTTTGCATATTTCTAACGGAAATCCTAGTGCATTCTATGGGGTAACACATCTTTTTCTTGTTCTTTCATCTCTTATACGACCTGTATGTATGTTTTCCTAATTGATAAACCTACATATGATCCTCCATAACTATTTCAATCTCTTCACAGTGATGTATTTAAGTTGATTAGAATAGACTAAGATTGATCAGAAGCTGTGTCAATAGCATTTTGCAGATAAATACATTGTAAGAGTCGTTTAAATCTTGGTCAGGTTTTTGATGGGCATGGAGGAAAGCATGCAGCTGACTTTGCATGCAACCATTTACCGAGGTTCATTGTTGAGGATGAAAATTTTCCAGCAGATATTGAGCAAGTAATGTCATCTGCATTCTTACAGACAGATACGGCTTTTGCAGAAGCTTGCTCTGTGAATGAAGATCTCGCTTCTGGTACCACTGCTTTGGCAGCTATTGTACTTGGAAGGTTAGTTTTGTAGTACTTATAGAGATTACTGGCTAGTTTCGAGTCTAGTTTGCAAAATAATAAGTCTCTATTGCAATGGACGAGTTCCTTTCTTTTGCTGATGAAAATTATGTTTTATTCGAAAAAGTCGCACATTCACTATTTGGAAAAATTATCCCCCAATTGCATACACTGCGTGCTTAATCACCATGAAACTACTGGAACAATCTCAATTTTGAGCGTAAATTGAACAAGAAAATGTGAGTTGCTTTGTCAATCCAAGTGATTAAAGCTCGATGAATGAACTTAGGACGAAAGTTGAAATTTGTACAAGTTACTGTAGCTCTTTGTATAATGTGCGTTTCTCAGGAGCAAAACTGAGATATATCTTTCTAATTGTGTACCTTTACTATAAACTTATCTCATTGTCTATTTTATAATCAGCTCTTTGGTGGTGGCCAATGCTGGCGACTGCCGAGCGGTCCTCTGCCGACGTGGCAAAGCAATCGAGATGTCAAGAGACCACAAACCCGTCTGCCTGAAAGAAAAGAAGCGTATAGAAGCTTCCGGAGGTTACGTGTACGACGGCTACCTAAACGGGCAGCTTAACGTGGCCCGAGCCCTAGGGGACTGGCACATGGAGGGCCTCAAGTGCCAGCATGGCGGGCCTCTCACGGCGGAGCCCGAGCTCATGCGGGCAAAGCTGACTGAGGAAGATGAGTTCTTGATAATGGGGTGTGATGGGTTGTGGGATGTGTTCATGAGCCAGAACGCGGTGGATTTTGCGCGCAGGCGGCTTCAGGAGCACAATGACCCAGTAATGTGCTGTAGGGATCTTGTGGACGAGGCCCTCAAGAGGAAGAGTGGGGACAACTTGAGTGTGGTGGTCGTTTGTTTCCAGGCCGGCCCGCCGCCAAAGTTGGTGGTCCCACGGGGCAGGGTGCAGAGGAGCATTTCTGCTGAGGGGCTCAAGGAGTTGCAGAGCTTTCTGGATAGTTTGGATTGTAGTAATTGACAGATGGTGATGAACAATTTTTCTTTTTTCTTTTTTTT